TAATGTCTAGCCCCAATCCAATTCTGAAATTTGTGTTGTCTTTTAAGTTTTTAAACTTATAATAAGATCATCATACTTTATCTAAAAAGACACTTTTCATGTATAAATATCAAACGGTTGTTCAAGAATCCTCTATTAGCTTATTTTCTCTACCTCAACAAAATAACTTTTAGTACTATTGATTAATAGAGTTTTATTTTTTCCTAAAAAGTTCATTATAAAAATATCATAACAAATTATTCTTAATTATAATCAAATGCGGTAATATAATAGTAATCCTATTATAAATTTATTTTAATATCATTAAATTAAATAACTATTTTATCATAATCTTATTTCATCTACTAAATCACATTATACATGATATAACTATAAAGATTATTTTTTGTCAATCTATATTTTCATTCAAAATATTTTCTCATTATTTTATATTTTTAAAATGGCTAAAAAAAATAAAATTTTTAAATGAAGTGAAAAGAAAAGGCATATGTATGTATGTATAATATGCGGTAATAATCGTTGTTGAAAGCGGGGATGAGAAACAAAGGAGAGACTTTAAAATACCTTTTGGCATATTGTCAATTTATAATAAGAGTATTATATCATATAAATTAAATACCTTTGGCATTAATGCTCGTGTTTCAAATGTTTATTTTGAATTTTATTTTTAGTTTTTAATTATATAGAAAATTAGATTTAGAATTTTGTTTGAGATTTAAAATTTATTTACATAAATTTATAAACTAAAAAAAAAAATTACTTTTCACAAATAAAAATTGATTTTAACTTTACTAACAACCATAATTTTAAAATTTGAAAGTGTAATTTATCCTAATTGAACATATAAGATGCTATTAAAATTAGTATGCATTGATCTTTGATGTACATAATATAACAAACAAGCTTTAATTGAGTAGTATACAACAAAAAGAAAATCACATATAATATGTTTCAAAGTATATAACATTTTATTATTATTATAATCCGTAATATGTTTTAATTAATTTAGAAATATGTATTTCCAAGTTAGTGGATATTTTTAGCAAAAGAAAGTGATGTTAATGTTGTCTGTGTAATCTAAGGATTAGTGGTATTAATTATAATGTCACTCAATTAAGAGCTGACCATTTCTTAAGGAATACAAGGGTTGACCAATGTGAACCACGGGAGTAGCATTGAGCCTACAATATCCATATGATGAACCCACCATGGATACATACATATATGATTAGATATATTACACCTTAAGTTTTGTATTATCTGGATATACACAGACATTGGAGAGTAAGATAGAACTATATAACATTTAATAATATTAAAATTATATAAAACTTACAAGTAATGGCACACGAGATGCTTGAAATTGTTATAAAAATATATGTCAACAAGTACTAAAAGGGTATTTTATGTTATTTACGTAGATAAATTTTTTTATTTTTAAAAAATGAACAGCTTATATATTTGGATAAAACATTGACTAAGAAAAATAAGTGATTATTTTTAAGAAATTAATATATATTATTTTCTAAATTATATCATTTTGTGTATATATTATTAAACTTTAAGAAGATAACAAGAAATAATTAATTAAATTAGGTATAGAGTGAAAACAATGATATAAATGTTACGATTATAATGTTTATTTTTTTTTTACTTTAAGAAAGTACTTGTTTATAGCAAACTTTTGTAAAGTACTTTAATAAATTAATAAATATATTTGTTTTCATGTTATCAAATATAAAAAATTGAAGTATATAGGTTAAACTATT